TTTGACCCTTTGGTCTGCCCCAAAGTTCCAGCACTGCTGATAAATCATTGTCATCATCACTGTGTGCTGACATGTTAATTCTGAATTACAGCAACCCTTGCCAGAATTTCCTAGGTAAAACGTGTTCAGTTGGATTTACAATAAAATTATATTAAAATGCTACAAAGCTAAACTAGTTGTAAATAACTGTTTTAGTTTTATAGCAATTTTAACCTAATTTTCTTATATAAACCATAATGAACATTCTTTCATTCCTTCATTCAATTTGTATCCCACTCCCATTGGTGTCACACACTACTCTGGGTGGTTACAATTCATAGAATAGAAAGCAAAAATAAAAATATTTTGCTAATAAAAATATTAATATAAGTTTTTATCAAAAACCTTTAAAATATTTAAGGTTATTTAATAAATACTTATAATAAGGAATAAATATGTCAGAGTAAAGCATAAAGGACATTCTAGAGTAAACAATAGAGATGAGATAAATGTTTAGAATAGCTATATACATTATGAATGTTCCTGGGTCCAGCTTTACTCTTAGATGTTCTTGCAGCTACTAAGATTGTTTTTGTCCAGCTTGCTGGAGATTACACATCTGGCCACAGAGATGCCAGGCTTAGTCACTTCCCATTCAGGCTACTGTGTCCTACTCTGCCTGGAGCTATCCTTGAAGTGTGTTTAACAATGGCAGTTGGACGAAACTGCTATTACAAAGGTTGCTTTCCAGTATATGCTTTTTTTCACACCAATTTTACAACAGTTGGACAGACTTCCAGTCTTAGTGTAAGTTCTTATCTATACCAGACTAAATAAATTGGGATCAAGATATTTGAGATAGTGACTTCCCTTATGAATCTCAACTAGAGACGGGAGCCCATCCAGCTTTTCCCTGCCTCCTGAGGCAGCCAACCACTCATTGGCTGTGTAGGGAGCCTCCCCATTCCATTTCCTCACCAGAGTGCTTGGCTGGCTGAGGAGGTGGGGAAAGGCTGGCTGGACTCCTGCCTGGATTAGAGCACCTCTGTCAAAGAAGGACCCCAGCAGCATGCAGAGCCCAGTAAGTGGACAAGGCATCAAGGGGGGAGGGAGATGGAACTCAACACCAGCAGTGGTGCCATACTTAGCTCCCATCTCTAATCTCAACCATTATTTATCATCCCAGATCATGACTTGCATCTTTCTGTGGCCTGTTACCAAAAGATCCTAGTTTGGTTGGAATGATGTAATACCCTGACTATGAAATTCCTTCCAAAAGGAAAACTCATTTAGATTTCCCCCTTCGTTGTTTAGCTTCCAAGGGCAGTAAAAAACATCATGCTCCATTTTGCTTACTTTAAGAATGCTATTCGTGTGGAAGGGTTTATTGGCCAGGGTTGCGGTTGAAGATTAAAATAAAATTAAAAATATGAAAAAGTCCAGATGTGTATTTCACGGAGATTATACCAGAAATAAATAAATAAATAACAAAATTCAGACTAGATGGCAGACCCTCTAAAAAAATTTCTGACAAATAAGATGATCAGAAAAACATGATCAGAAAATCAGGGCATCCAGATGACTTTAATTAAGAGCTATGATTTTCTGCATTTGAAATTGCTGACCCTGCAGTCTTAATCATGTATCCTGAGAAGCCCCACTAAGGCCAGTGGAATGTACTCTGTGGTAACAGCACAGAAGATTGTAATCTAACAAGAGTGTAACTGCTTAGAACAGTATATAAAAGAAAAAGAAACTTTATGTACTCCACTAATGAAAAAGGAACCTGAAAAGAGCTCGCTGTTTCTCTGTGCATTATCAGAGTCACATTTTCAAAGAGTGCCAACAATTTAACATTAACGTTTATTGGTATGCAGTGTCTTGAGAGAAAGACAGAAAACACTACAATTTTCTAAGTTATTATTGAAATGTCAGCGGTGCTGATTAACTGCTACACATTAATTGATGTGTTTTCCTTATATGTGAATGTACATATTTGTACATTTGCACCTTTTCTACCCATTTATTTTGTAATAAATAGTGCAAATAGAAAAAGCAAATACAAATTACCACATACCTCCACACAATATGAAAGAAGCTCCTTTATCCTCTGCAGTGATAAGCACTTGGCAGATTCAGGAATAAATAATCATTTGTGGTGAGGGTATGCCTTATCAAACATATGCAGATCAGCAGTAATTAATGCTAATTAAGGTTTCCTGTCTATCTAGTTGGAAAAACGTCCAAATGTTATGAAATCAGTTAGTATGCCTATTACTCTAATTGTTTTATATGGGATGGATCTTAATTAAAATATGTAAATTGACCTTAATTGCTATATACTAATGGAGGTTCATGTTATCTCTCAAAGAGTGACAAGATGGTGAGTAGAGGTACTTAACCATATAATTCTGTGAAATCCTTAACTAAATGGCCTTTACCCAAAATCTTTTTTTATTATAATTTGGCAAGGGAACATATTTCCATATAGTTTGTTTTTCAGATGTACGTGTTGTGTGTACACTATGGATATAATTCAAGTACAGGTATGTAGGTTTGAATTAAGGCTGTATTTTACTTTGTTACACAAAATAAAAATCTACAAGCAGCTTTACTGTTTCTGTGTGAATTATATATTGAATATATGACAACATTTTTAATCTTAAAATATATAATATTTGCACAATTTAATTGGAATGCCTAGTGGTAGCTGCGTTTTTAAATTAAGAATTCATTGCAGTAATTAGCAATGAAGAAGACAAGTTTAGGTAGAAGCCTTACCGTTGATCTACAAGATTGCTCACCTTCATTTCTATGAAAGGGGATTTTAGTTGCTCACTGGTGGTGAGTTCATTGTCACACCCAAAGTTCAGAGAATAATATATTTTCTGTTCCATATTAAAACCAAGTACTAGGAGAGGCCTGTTAACCTGTGGTTCAGATTTATGTTCTCATTGCATTTTTCCTCTCTGGTCATTATGGTATCCAAATGAGATGTGTGATGGATATTTCTGAGACTGTTTTCTAAACAGAAAATTAATTTAGGACTAGGATTGGATGACTCAGTTGATTTCAAGTTGAGTTATCATGTATTCATTCCTATGTTTCTGCAGTAATCCTTTGGTGTGTTTTTTAAGTTTGAAAAATCATTTTTAACATTCAGTACTATTTTTGATGTAATTACAAATTACGTTTTTCAAACTGCATTTTATCCTGAATAATCCTGTTTGGGGTTTCTTTGGTGGGGTTTTTTTTTTGTATATTAATTTTGAGCTGAAAACTGCACCATAAAATTTGGAGAGATAGCAGATCTTCTCCTAACGTGTTTTGTTTCAGAAAGGCAAGGCTTTTTTCTGTAGGTTTTCTTGGAATTGGCAAAATGTTAAAGATGTGAGGAAAAGGAATTAAGAAAGCTGCCCATCCTGTAATTTTTATTTTGTTCTTGAGCAGAATTTAGCAACGTTTCTCCAATTTGAATGTCAATGTGAAAGTGACCGACCAGTTCTGGCCTGTAGTGACTCATTAGCTGTAAATCACATTACTGTAGTTTGCTTCAAAATGGGAACCAAATAGAACCCTTGAGTATTTCTGCTCATTGCTGAGCCACTCATCTATGTTCATCAGACATATAGTAACTTTCCTGGACACTGCACTGTACATGAGAACTGCCTCCATTGAAGGCTACACTGTTAAAAGATCCTATTATGTACTCTTATTCCATGAATTTTAAAATGCATCAGTAGTATTATTATTCATAGTGGTAGATGTAGTTAATAACAATAATTAAAGACCTAACTGTGAAAGGCTTAAATCAAATCACCCTTGGGCTATTTTTGTGCCTTGTGCTTTGCTTCATTATCACCAGCCATTAATATTTATTTAAGTAATTAATACCTCATTTTTCCCTTCCAAAAAAGGAGTCACACAAAAAGCTGTACACAAAATATAAAAAGCATAATGCCAGTCATTAAAACACATTTACAACGGGGTGGAAATTAAATCTGTAGAAAGACAAAGACGTGACGAGACAGAATTAACATTTTGTGAGTAATATGAACAGTAACAAAATGCTTGTTTAAGGAGAAATGTTTTCATTTGGCAGTAGACCAAAGATAAAGTGGAAAAAGAACTTTTGGGGCAGAGAGTTCTACATTTGGGGTACCACCCCAAAGCCTCCATATGTTGCTGGGAGCTATGCACACATAGAGAGGGCATTACCCATCTTAAAAGACAAGCAGCTTCAGAGGAGAGGAGATGGCCATTCTGAAGTCAGGTAGACCCCAAGCTGTTTAATTTTAAGGTAACAAATACAACCTTGAATGTCATTGCAAAAAGAACTAGCAGCTTGGTGCAGTTGATACAGTAAAGGGGTCTTGTGATTCCACATGATGAGTTCTAACAGCAGCATTCTGCATTGATTGGGTTTCCAAGATACAGTATTTTCAGGTGTAGCTCCACACAGTGGACAGTACTGTGCTATGGGGACATCTGACTCTACTAGAAATGAATGTAGCAAGTGTACGATCCAGAGCTGGGGAAATAATTCCTGGCTGTAACAGATGCTTGATCTTTTAAAGCAGGGATGAGCAATCTGTGTGGGACTGAGGGTCATTTAGGTTTACTGCTAGCCCACAGGGATTGACTGGGGAGTCATGCCCAAAATGTCTTAATTTGCAGCATGAAAAAGGATAACAAGTTTTATATAGCAAAGGACAGTCTGAATGTTGACAGCACCAATGGCAGCAATCAAGATTGTCTACAGCAGTGGTCCTCAACCTTGGGCCTCCAGATGTTCTTGGACTTTGCTTCATTATCACCAGTCAGATTTGCCCATCCTGGTCTCCTATGCTGTAAAATGTCATGAGCACTGTTGTCATCATAATTATCAAGTAATCTTTTAAACAATAACATTAGAGACCATCTATTCCGATGAGTGAGGAAAACTTCCATTTTCTCTGCTGTGTTTTTGTTGCATTGTTGTTGTTTTTTAACCTGACCAAAATCTCTTATTGTTTTGACAGGACATTGTAACGAATGTTTCTCCACGGATAATACGGGGAACTTCTTCAGGTCCCATCTACGGTCCCGGCCAAAATTCTTTCCTGAACATTGAACTTATCAGTGAGAAAACTGCAGCCTATTGGTGTCAAAGTATCACTGAACTGAAGAAAGACTTCCCGGAAAAGGTAAGTTCAACTCAATAGGCAAACATACTGCACACTGAGGATTTTTTTTTTCCAGAAGCTTCTTTCCCAATGTTGTTTAAAAGAAAGGTTGCTGCTCCTGGGGTACATTCAGTTTGCTTTTACTTCCGGTGAAACAGGTTTTTCAGGATTTTCCCAGACCTACAAAACCTCTTTGACTAGAGAGGAAAGTAGGAAAAAAGTGGGGAAATGGAAAAAAAGCATTCTGACTATACTACAAGAAGCAAAACCTCCCCCAAAACGGCTTTTGGCACTCTTAAAATTATTATCTTTCTGCAATTTTATTCACAGTTACATTGTTTATGAACTAGCCAACATTAATGCATTTGATAGTTAAATAGACATGTGAATTCAGCTCAAAATTATCATCACTATAATGATAACTTTATGACTAAATAATGACAGATTTTTTCTGCCCGAGTAGAAATCTCTCTCTGCTCATTATAAAGTTCTCTGCACAATTATGGACATACAAAAAGGGTTTTTAAATTCAGATCCCTATGTCCTGCCCTGTAAAAGTATATAATACAAGGTACTGTATAATGTGCATTGTTTTTAAAAGGTAACACTTTAAAAAGCAAAAGTAAATAAAAACCCCTTTCCAAGCATTGCCTCAGTGAACTTAATGAGCAGAGAATGACATTACTCAAATGAGAGAAAAGCAGAGATGAGGATACAAAAGAATATCAACTAGTGATTACAGTGAAGTAAATTATTGCATTATTGTAAATATTAAAAACAGGAGAAAATTGATATATAATTGCTTTTTCATTGTAATAGAGGCAGTTTAAATAGTGGGTTCAAAAATCAACAACATGCTAGAAATTAAAGTCTTTGTTACTATCAGTGCAGTTGACAGGGTTTTGAATTAAGTACAAAAGATTCAGTACAAAAGGAATTACTTTAAAATTATACAGAGTTTAGGTACATTTTGTTTCTGTTGCTCAGGGCCCTGATAGGAGTTGAGCTGAGCTGAACAACAAAGGAACAATGTATCTAGAGGATGCTTAGAAAATTCTGTTTCTCCATTCCTTGCCTCCTCCAGAGTTTTGCCGTTCTGAATTTACCCTGTTCTCACTTCTGAAGTACAGTGGTGCCTCGCATTACGACATTCATTCGTTCCGGCAAAATCACTGTAGAACGAAAACGTCGTAAAGCGAAAATAAAAAAAGCCATTGAAGTGCATTAAAACCTGGTTAATGCGTTCCAATCGGCTAAGAACTCAGCGTCCAGTGAAGATCCTCCATAGGGGCAGCCATTTTCGGGTGCCTGTGCAGCGAAAAATGGCTCCTAAACACAGCGGGGAGCCATTTTGAGCATCCAGTGGCCATTTTGAAAACCCAACGATCAGCTGTTTTGATTGTCGGGAAACAGGGAACCGATCATCACACAGCAAAATTCCCCCATTCAAAACGTCATTTTGAGATCGCTTTTGCCTCATCGTAATGCGGATTCGTCGTTAAACGGAGCGCCCGTCTTGCGAGGCATCACTGTATAACTGGTGCAGCCGGCATTTGTGTGCGTAGCTGTTAAATATGTGTGATGAGTCTAATTTTAGTGTGAAGCTTGACCAGCGTGTCCCACCACATCCCAAATTGTCCGTAGTTGGATTTCAAATGTGTTCAAAAGAGTGCTTAAACATTCTGTAAGCTAGTTTGTGGGGAGGAGAAGGATCAATTTTAGTAACTGGTTCATTTAAAACAGATGACCAAACATGTGTACCTGTGCAGGCAGAAGCATGCAACAGAGACATACCTTTGTGTCCTGTTGAAAGGGGTGTGGGGAGATAGAACCAGCCATAGACATGGCATGGGAGTGAGAAGGAGAGGATATTCACCAATGAGACCTTTAGGGATCCTCAACACTGAAAAAAATACTCCAAAACTGTGTTTCTTGATGTGATTACATTCATGATGTCACCATCATTTGTGTGTGTGCAGTTTCGTGCCATCATGTCTGGATGCGTGGATGAGACACACACAAAAAAGCGAAGTTTTATGATGGGCAGAAAACATCTGGGTCTGTAGATATTTGGTACTGAATGCTATCTGGGACTTGTGCATTTTAGAAGATCTTCTGGGCCAAGAACTCCCCCTCTTTTTCATTTGATTATGATGCTGTTGTGCGGCTATATAATTTCAGATTGGAATCAGAAATCCCTGCATGTGTGGAAGCCACATGTGTCTACCTCTGGAACTAGAAAGGCCACTTCTACACTCCCACCAAAACTTGGGTTTTTTTCCCTGTTGAAAAAGCCTTACCTCAGCTTTTAGTGGACATTTAAAATAATAATAATTTGGGAGACCAAGAGATCGCATGGGCACCAAAGGTGACTCTGCAACATGGCAGCATTGCCCAACATGCCCCCTAGATAGCACAAGGGGATGTTTATGCACTTTTGAAAACCAAAATAAAACGGAATGTTGTGTGGGTGGGTGAGGACCCACAGGAGTGCCAAGGGGCAGCTTTAGGAGCTGGGCCATGACATGCAATCCATGGGTTGCAGTTTGCCTGTGATCCTAGATGTAATAGTCCTCCAGAAGTGTTCAAGTTAGGCAAGAAGCATGAAAGCAGAATTTTAATTCTTTCCCAGACCACTGTTTGATGTTCCTCAAATGAACATGTATAATTAGTTAGGCTGTCTCCTGACCCACTCAAGAAAGAGAATGGAAGGCCAGGGGCTGCTGCGGGAAACAATATTGGCACAATACACCCATGCCAACTCAAATGCTGGTTTTCTTGCTATCCCTGTCACTTGCTACTTTCCATCCCAACCCTGGTTGTGGGGTCTTATACTTTGTCACCAGCTGCATTACTCTGCAGAAGGTTATATGGATATTATGGCGTTACTTTCAAATGGTGTTATTGATATGCAGGAACTGGTTTTCACAACTGAATGTTTGCATTGTTGCCATGCAAAAGGGTTCTGTGCTATCACGTACAATATATGATCACCACCACCACCCATTATTTATGTCTCTATGCTGACCAGTTATACTGAGAGGGTGAAGATGTAAATAAACCAAAGGAACTGCACGCTGTAGCAAACCACACAGCTCCAGTTCTGGCATTAATTTTAGAGAGTTTTATTAAGAATAAAACCCAGACGAAGCAAAACACCAGGAGGAATCTTCCAGAGAAGCAGTAAACAAATAGAAGCAGAGAAATCCTCTTATCCTTTAAAAAAAATTCGAATGAGGCGAATTAACACAGACAAGATGGTTTTTATCCCCTGATCCTGTGGAATGGTCAACAGAGATTGTGACAGATCCCTCTCTTCAATGTGTACCTATGCTGTTCATTAATTAATTATGCATGATTAAATAGGAGTAAATATCTGAGACATGTAAGAGTAGGGCTCTACAGGACGAGGCTTTAAAACCTAAGGAACATAATAACAGATCCTTGGGATTTGAAATTATAATGGATGTTGGATAGGAAGCCTCTGTTCATTGCATTGTCCTCTTCAATTGATCTTCACTTATTTTGTTCTCTCAGATGAGAGCAGAAAAATCAGTTTTCTCCTGCGGAGGCAAAGTGGCAAGATATTTTGTGCCATTGTTTACCTTTTCAAATTTTTTGTTACCTGAAAAATATCACAGAAGTCTATTTTATGCATCTTGGCTTTTTTTTTTTTTGCAAATTACACAGATCTTGTGCAAAAAAAATATCTCCCACTTTTTAGCTAATGTTGTTGTCATGTTTACCCCATGGCCCCTGCTTGTTTCACCAAACACAGAGCTCATGAAGATATCCCAGCATGCCCTTTAACACACTGCCACCAGTTGATCTCTTTATCCACCTATATTTCCTATGAAAGACTGAGGTCCATTCAGTACTGAACTTTTAAACAGAAACAGATTTATTGATTATAAGTTGTTTTAGGAATAGTTCTTAAGCACATTCTTAAACTTTATACAAAGCTTCGGTATTTTACTTTAATCTCTTCTATCATAATTAATACAGGTCATACTCTGACTAATCATTCTTTAACTCTCTCTCTGCCTCAAACTCCCAAACCCCTTCTCCAAAACTCTGTCTCTCACTCCCCAGACTCTGACTCACCCTTCTCCTCCAGCCTCTCTGGCTCCATCTCCCAACACCTCCCATTGGTGCAGGCCAATACCATTATTTATATTCCTATATATAGGAAGACAAGGTGTTCGCTACAGTTGTTGGCTGGCAAAAAAAAAAGTTGACTTTTTTCCATCATGCAAGACTGAAAAAAGTTGTAGTGATTAACAGGGTTTTTTATGGAGTCAGCTGAGACATATATATATTAATCGTCGCTATCCGGAAACATCACTATACGGATAGGAAAACCCCATAGGAACGTATTAAACTCCATTTAATGCGTTCCTATGGGGCGAAAACTCACCGTTGAGCGAAGATCCTCCATAGCGCCGCCATTTTCGCCGCCTCAAGAAGAGGTGGCAAGAATACACAGAGGAATTATACCAGAAAGACCTGGATGTCCCGGACAACCCAGACAGTGTGGTTGCTGACCTTGAGCCAGACATCCTGGAGAGTGAAGCCAAGTGGGCCGTAGAAAGACTGGCCAACAATGTCAGTGGAGGTGATGGCATTCCAGTTGAACTATTTAAAATCTTAAAAGATAATGCTGTCAAGGTGCCACACTCAATATGCTCAAAATCCTACAAGTTAGGCTTCAGCAGGAAGTGGACCAAGAACTCCCAGAAGTACAAGCTGGATTTCGAAGGGGCAGAGGAACCTGAGACCAAATTGCTAACATGGAGTGGATTATGCAGAAAGCCAGGGAATTGTAGAAAAACATCTACAGTGGTGCCCCGCATAGCGACATTAATCCATTCTAGGATTAACATCGCTATCTGGAATCATCGCTAAATGGAAAGAAAAACCCCATAGGAACACATTAAACTCTGTTTGTTGCGTTCCTATGGGGGAAAAACTCACTGTTGAGTGAAGATTATCCATAGCGCCTCCATTTTCGCCGCCTCGGT